AATATCAAATTTCATGGCCAGAATTTCCGGGAAGCCCCATGGTTGCTTTCTTTCCCACATGTACTTGCTTCGCTTCCATGCCGACTGCATCGGTAGGCTACCATGTGCTGAAATGGGTCGGTAAGTCTCCCCGATGAGGAATTCCATAGCGCTTTGCCTTTTCATGCTTTGCATGCTTCTCTTTCCGTTACCGATTTTGCGTGGGCTTCAGATAAGCCATGGGAAAAAAGACAGACAAAACAAGTAGTTCGGGTGGTTTGAAGCCATTGGGAAGCGTGCATGCCTGCGGCTTCTGTCGCCCTAAGACCACCAAGGCGGCAAGGAAACAGGCACATTCCTCACTTTGGGGCGTTCCTTCGAAAGTTACTTTTCCAACTTTCCCTCGCTCAAGGGTACGCGTCTCCCTCAAGAAAACTGGTGTTGCCGCAGATTGACCATAATTATGCCAGTCTTCTATTTTATCTCATTTGGTGCCAGAATAAGTCAATAATTTGATTTGTTGGAACTGCAAAGGCTGCATCGGAAAACTCATCGGTCCCGTACAGTACAGATTCACCATTCCCTCGTTGCTGGCTCAGTGCCACGTAGCTGGCTCAATGCCTCGTTACGCGCTCAGCGCCTCGTAACTCAAAAAACGAAAAACAAATTATTGAAAAAAATGCGAAAAAATTGAGCCAGCCACATGCCCTTGAGCCAGCTCGGTGTGCCGTCATCATCCCGGCCACTGCATGTTATGTATTCGTTTTTAGCTCTCCGATTCGTTTGCCAGCTCACTGTGACGTAGCTGTCTCAATTTTTTGAGCTGTTTTTTGTTCAAAAAATGAGCCAGCTCGATGCCATCGAGCTGGACCGATGTGTTTGAGCTAGCGCGGTGTTGCTGAGGTTGCTCGTTCCACTTGACCGAGCTTGCAAATTGCTTCCCAATGTGCTCATTTGCCAGGTTCAGTCCCAAATTATTCGTTTATTGGAGATATTGGTACCCCTGTTGCAGCCCAGAAATTTAGGAGCCACGTTTTGGGCCAAATCTGCTTAGACAGCGGCACGACATTAAAGTCAAACACATGACCCCATCTGAAATTGAGCCAGCTACATGTTTTGAGCTAACTCGGAGATGAGGAAGATTGTGGCTTGCTACATTCAACTCCTCAAGAACATATTTAGGATAGGACATGACAGCCAGAGAAATAAATGGCTGTATCGCAAGCCTGGCGTGCCGGTGAAAGAAAATTTTGCTGATGGTGGCTGTGCCCATGGCGACACCCGCTTTTGGACAGCATACTGGTACAGAATTCTGGTTTATCCAACCCCGTGTCCAAAAGCAAACCTTCCCACGGCTAACCTGCTACAGGGCAGGTGGTTTTATTTGGCGGGGCTTTCTGCAGGAGGTTTGGGATGCAGTATTAGGTTCTGCTTCTGGGTCAGAGATGTTGGCGCACGGTGTGGTTCCCCCTGTCAATCTCAGTGTCCAGCAGCATGTGCTCGGGATGAGTGGCCCAGATACCACAGAGGCATGGAGCTAGTCCAGATCCAAGTACCAGCAAAACTTAAGCACTGCGCTGTTTTTGTGTGTTGCCTTCAGCATGTTTAATCTGAAACACATCGGGTTACGGTTGCAATCATTGGAAATTGTTGCGCTTCCTCCGTTCGAATGCAATGGGGGCGTGCAGTATCGCTCTGGACTGGGCCCTGCTTTTCTTTTGCTTCTTGCCTGCAGCTTGGCAGCAATGGTCAGTTTCTTCTTGTCATGCGTATTTTCCAAGCGCCTGTGGTTTACAGGTCGCCCCTCGAGTTAGCCATTGGTTCTGGTTCAGTCTGCTAATAATTGCGGACCTCAAATCTGCTGGCGGCTTGCAGGTTTGCCTTTCGTCCATTTGTTTCAAGAAGACGCCTAGAAGTGTGTTGGAAAATTTAGTTGCAACAGTACCAAGCCCATCAAATCCAAAGAGTGTTCGTGGACGGCGTAAATTCCGTGTTTGTCATTGCTCGTCAAGGCTTTTTTTATTGTGTCGTGCAGGGCCAGCCTTACCCAGTATTCGCGTTGTTTTCGAATTGTCTGTTAAATTTGACCCATGCGTGGTCCCTCTAGCGGGCAAACCGTTTTGGGTCCAAAAGTGCCCCCAGAAAACGCTCCCAAAACCGCTCCCTAAATGATGTGGAAGGTGGTAAAGGTCGTGACAGATTCACACTAGCCAGTATGGCTGTGCCGGTGAAGTTCCCACATTGCCGACGCCAGGTGAAGACATGACAAATGCCTTGCAGGCACAGCAGCTCCGCACCATCTGCAGCCTTGAAGCTGCAAAAAATGTTGCAAAAGATTATTCTTGCCCACCAGAAAATTTGCTACAAGGCGTGGGAGCCTATAGATTGTTGACATCGAACCTACAGCGGGGTGTGTTGTCAGTGGCATCCTTGTGCAGCTGCTCGATTTTATTGGATTTGTCTTTCCTGTGTGTAAATTCTTTCCCAGAAAAGGAAATGCTTGGAAGTCTTTGTATTTGTGGTGCCTATCCAGGAAGAAACAAAAATATGCACAACACGGCCACACCAGAATTGTTGCATCTTGAAGTCCACAGCTGAAAAGAAGATTTGAATTTCAATCCAACCAGGACTTCTTGAGAAGCCGATTTGAACGTAGCGTACTTAACTTGCCACCCGTTTCCACTTTTCCAAATGCTTCTGCGACATTGCAAGCAAGGTACTCACGTGATTGTTTTCAATGGGAAAGAGTTCTAGAATGTATACAATTTGGTTTGTCACTTCGCTCAAAACCTTTGCTTGCAAAGCGATCGATTACTGGATGCTTTAAAGCAGCTCAACAAACATGCACCAAGAGCCAGACTGCAGCACATGGCCTTGACCATGTCCAGGAAGGTCGTGTGCCGCGGGTGCCTTTTGCAGCGCGGGCTCAGGACCTTACATGGGAGCCCATGATCTCCAAGTGGCAAAGCATGGTTGAGCGCTTGAATCGCTGTCTCCACTTCTGATTCGACATAGTATTCCGGGTGCTGGACACCGCGAAACCAATGGCTTAGAAAAATTGAAGGTGCATAGGGACTAACTAAGTCTTTCAAGTCTGACATGCCTGCAGACATGCATACATTCGTTTGGGTGGAGCTTTTCCCAAAAGGACCTGCCAAGGGTTCCTTCCGAAGAGCCACTATCAATTTACATCATCTTCATCTGCATCTTCATGATCACCATCAGCACCATCACCATCATCGTCATCGCCATCGTCATCATCATCGGTTGTCACTACTACAGCATCTACACATCTACCACTGTATGTGCGATCGTGCGTAGATAGTCTGGAAAACACCTACATATCTCTACTTTTTAACCCTTTGAAGATGGATCCATCCCAGGCGAACGAAACGCGTGTCCATCACCATGTGGCTTGCGGCGGTTAAAGCTTTCCCGCACGAAACGCGTGTCGATCGTCAGCGGTAAGATTGTGATTTGTTTTGTGCCCAGTGAGCTTTTCCTGCGCGAAGCGCATGTCAAACGGCCAAAAGGCAAGGTATGTTCGTCTTGCGCCGAACATGTGCCCAAAGAACCCTGTATGCGCGAAACGCGTATCGTCGATCGTCAAGAACTGGGGTAAGAATAGCCATGTGGCGTGTGCCCGGTAAATTTGTCCCGTGCAAAACATGTGCCGATCGTCAAAAACTAAGTCAGAACTTGTGCTAGACGATCGTTCCTGCACGAGACGGATAACGAGCGTCCAAAACTGAGGTATAAAGCTGCGATTTGGGGTGATCTTTTTTAGCATCAGTGTGTCTCCAAGCTTCTGTATGTAAGCGCTTTTCTGTGGCAACGCTTTCGGCGTGTAGGCTTGTAAAAGCAGGAGTTTCTGTTTGTAAAAGGTTGTGCGTGAAAGCATCTCTGTGTGAAAGGTCCAGTGTGTAATTGCGTGTCGCGTTAAAGCATTCAGTGTAAAAGCAACTCTTTGTATAAACTTCCTGTGTGCAAAAGCATCTGCGCATAAAAGTTTCTAGTTGAAAGTGCTTTTGTGTGTAAGAGCATCTTTGCGTAAAAGCTTCTGTGTGTAAAATCGCCTGTGCGCATTCTCTGTGTAAAAGCTTCTGTGTGTGTGTAGACGCAGTTGCGAGGTTGTCATGGATGCAAAAGCGAGCCGAATCCACCCGCGAACAAAAATAGCATTGGAACGCCTTTTCGAAAATACGTCAATGTGTCAAATTCGAGCCAAGGCAAACGTGATACGAAAAAGCCCAGAAGCGGTGAACATGAAATGAAACACAAGATGGAACGTGCAAGATACGTGATGATCTTTGAGGGTTCAGAAAGCAAAAATGTAAGAAACAGAAACTTTCAAAAGGCAGAAAAGCCAGAAAACCAGCAAGCAGAAATAGAAACTTAGACTTGCTGAATCCGATTGAGAAAGTCGTCAATATTCACCCTAACTAGATGCATTCAATAAACGCCACTGCAACAAAACAAATGAGGATAATCTTGTCTCCAAGGGCGGCACGTGAATTAATTGAGCGGGGTGTAGCGGATACCTCGCGAGTCCTTTCTGCGTGGTATCACGGATAGCACCATCAATATATGGCTCAGAGTTGTTCACGTGTAGCTGCATCAAAGCGGTAAACAGCAATTACTAGATTTACTAGATGTTGTCGCAAAAAATGTTCGAAATTGCATTGTCTCAATTGCGGGAAGCAAAGGAACCAAGCAATTATAGTAAACATAAAGGTTCAGATGAGTTCAAAGAGCTTTCCAAAAATGTCACAAGAGCATATACGACCTCTGATGTTCTCAAGTGCTTCAACATTGCTTTTGGTCTCAGTAACTGATTCTGACCACATCGTGCGAGAAGCACAAGTGGACAGAGGATGGGGTCGGAACGCTTTCAAGACATCCTAAACATTGAATCAAAGACCATTTCAAAGACTTCGCAGGTGACTCGAAAAACTTGCCGCTTTTAGGAGTGCACAGCACCCCGCATTTATTCAATCTTAATAGCACTTTAATGGTTTTAT